CAATGTTTTAAAACATGATTTAAAACAATTCAAAAATCATTAAAAATCATTAAAAAACGTTTTTTTTGCCATCCCTACCGCGTAGCATTATGTGTAGTATTATGTGACAATTAGTAGTAGTGATGATTCTAACAAGCAGTAGTTCGTTCGTTCGTACGTACGTACGTACGTACTTAGGTACTTTAAACCTTTTGATAACCTCCGAATAGTTAGATCGTTTAGTAAATCAGAGCGATTAACGTTAAATAAATCAAGTATTTGATACAATTATAATATAACGTAAGTGCGTGTAATTTAGGTGGAGAGATAAATATATTTTTTTTTCCGATGTTTGATATATAACAAATAGTACATACTAACTAAAAAGGGTTTAAAGAACCTTATAACCATCTTTGCAATTAAAAATTAACTATTTACGTACGTACGTACTTACGTAAATATTTACCCCATAACAAAAGATAAAGAAAACAGAAGTTATAAATATACGTACGTACGTACTGTACGTATAGCCTTAGTTATTTGCACATCGACCAAAGTTTATTACTGTAGTGGAAACGACGTACGTTCGTACGTACGTACATATGCACGTACGTTTGTACGCACAATACGATTTTTTTTTTTTAGTGTAGGTTTTCTTATCATTAAGGTTTGTTGATGCACAAACTTAGATACGTTAGTCGGTTTTGTATTTAGCTATATACATAGCTAATTATTCTGCAAACTACGAACTATGCAAGCTTTCTCCTGCAAAAAATTTTGGTTTAAATTTTAATATTATTCCTCCATAGAGTCATAAGGTCATAAAGAGCCTGTCATATCCAAATCGAGACTCCATTGTGTATCAGTCTGTACATTCGTCCCTAAAAAAATAATAATAGATAGGCGAATTCAGTATCGCAAAAATCCTTATCGGTAAGTCTGTAAGCACAACAATTGTATTTGCAGTTGTTCATTGTTCGTCTGATATGATTGATTACAAAGAAGATTTGCTATCTCCATTTTATAATAAATATTCGCATCTGTATCTCTAAAAATTCTTCACGCTATCTCGTAATATCGAAGTCGATACACTTTGCGTTAACTATGGAAGCAACCGATGCAACAGAAGTAACCTTGGAATCATTATCCGCGAGTTCACGTTCTCCATCGATAGAAGAGCTTGATCATCCATCATCAGAGGATCAACCATTATTACCGGATGAAGAACGTACTTGTGATTCATTAAGCACTTATGATACTTATGAATCATCCGGAGAGGAAGAAATAGTAGTTTCAGGTTCAAGTTGGGCTGCGTATGTTAATGTAACGTAAGTAAATCGTTCTCTTGTGTCTTAATTTTATGATTAGATATATATTGCGATTTATTGCGATATATATTGTGTATCGATATTATTTATAACCATTTGTTATTTTTTGATTCATAGTTGTGTGGTGGCAGGAACCGGAATTCTAGGTTTGCCATATTCAATCAAACAAAGTGGCTGGATAGGTATGAGCCTGATCGCTTTGTCCATGTTAATAACACTACACACAAGTGTCATTTTAATAAAATGTCTATATTATAATAAGTATGAAGATTTTAAGTCTTATATTCTTATTTCTTGTGTGTTACCCATGAATTGTGTTTCTTATTCTTTTTACATTTAGGAAAACTCGTTTGAGCTCTTATGCTGACATAGGATATCATGCATTTGGAAATTTTGGAAAATATTTTTTGGTTGGAGTGTTTAATAACGCAATCCTGCTTGGTGTTCCTATATTATTTTTTATACTGGCCGGACAAAGTCTCGATAATATTGTAGAACAAATTTGGGATATCAAATTAGGTGTCCGTGTATGGACCCAAATATCTGCTGTATTCGTAGCTTTACCATTTATATTCACAAAAACTTTGAAAGAAGTGGTGGTTTTAAGGTTTGTTTCAATTTAATAATAATAATAATCATAGTAATAATAATGATAATAATAATGATAATGTAATAATAATAATAATGATAATAATATAATAATTATAATTATTAATTGTTATTACTATTATTTATTATAATTATTATTATTGTTATTATTATTTATTATAATTATTATTTATTTATTTATTTATTTTATTATTAATTTTTAATTATTAATAACAATATCTTTTATCATTAGTGTTTTTGGTGCTGTCACCACTTTCTTTACTGTTATCGCTATTGTGATACTTTCGTTTGCGGATCTTTCAAATGTTCTTAGCGCTCCCAATCCGCCCTCGCATAATATATTGGTTATTTCGGAACTTCCTGTTGCACTCGCGTCAATCTCATTTTCATTTGGAGGAAATAGCGTTTTTCCTCACATTGAAGAGAACATGAAAAGTGTGTATACCTTTTTTTGTTTAATATTCATTTCATCTTACTTATTTTTATCCTTAATTCTAAACTTTCAAAGATAGACATAATTGGAATAAAGTCGTTGCATTAGCTTTGGCAACATGTGCAATTATGTATGCTTTAGTTGCTTTTGCCGGTTATTATGTATATGGTGATAATACAATGAGTCCTATTTTTCTAAATTTACCTAAAGGTAAAAGTGTTAGTCAAATTTGTCTTGAAAATTCTCAAAACAAAATATTAACAGAGGTTAATATTGTAGGTCCTGTGTTGACGATAGCGTCTTTATTTATGACAATGCATGTGCTTATGACTGCTCCGATTCTTTTGACTTCTTTCGCTTGTGATGCTGAAAAACACTTAAAAGTCACACGTGAATATCTTTCCCCTTTTGCCGAATTTACTCTTCGCGCTTTGTTCCGAACTTGTCTTATTATTATATGTACAGTAATTGCTGTATTGGTTCCATTTTTTGGGTTCGTATTTTTTTTCTATTTGCCATGAAATGCTTTAAGATATCTTTTTACAAAGCTCTAATATATATATATTTATATATTTAGGGACTTTATGGCACTTTTGGGGGCACTCTCAATGTGTGCCATCGTTTTCATTCTCCCTGTAGTATTTTATTTGAAACTATATGGTTGGAAACATTTATCTATCTGGGGATTGTTGTGGAATTTATTTGTGGTGGTAGTAGGAATTATTGGTTGTGTAATTGGAACCGCCGATGCGGTATCAGCTTTGTTGAGAGATTTTCGTGAGATGGATTCCCACAATTAAATTTCTGTCTTATTTTTAGGGGTGGTCTCTTTTAATTCCTAAACTCTTGTGGTATTTTGTTAAACTCGTGTATAGTATAGATGACGTTGTACTTACATATATATATATATATTGTTTTTTGTGTTATATGGTGGCGTCAAGATAATACCCATGAATCTCAAAAGCAAGGTTTTCTCTTGACATCATTCATATGTGTAAAAAGTATTTTATAAATATACTACTAAGATTAAAATATATAAATATTCTCGAATTTGCAAATATTAATTTCTTTACAGTGAAACTTGCATACTGCAATACTAATTACATTACCATTGAATTCTTGAAATTTAGTACAATATTAATACAGTTAGTATTAGTACACATAGAGATGTTAAAATTTAGATTTGGTCCGATCCGATCCTAAGGATTGCAGTCCATGGTTCGCTACAATATAATTGCGGTTCTACCAACTAAATTTAATAATCGATTTTCAGTTGACTCGACTGATTAACATCTCTAAGTGCATATAGAATAACTTTCTCGTGATTGGTCGATCAGTAAAATTAAAATACTTCGCTATGATTGGTCAGGTCATATAAACCGTTAAAGTATATACAGTACAGGACAGCGAAAAATATCCAATTTTTTAGCAATTGTTAAATGTCTAA